CCAGAATTCAAAAGGTTGTTGTGTTGGGCTCTATAAAGGGGCCAACAGGAGAGCATCTGGGTGCCGTAGGCAGGCAGAGGGATGAGTTGAATATATTGTGACATTAATGAGGTTGTCAGACTCCTCATGATGGAGTGGCTGTGTTTTTGTGCCAGCAAGACTAACACCCTTAAATGCTCATGCTGTTAACCCCTGCTGAACCCTCGCCTCACAGACAAAGCAGAGGGGACGATAACACATGCCCTGCTTATGTATGCAGGCTGCTGCACGTACGTACACATTTAAAATTCCCGGTCACATAAAGGGACTGCCTCTTTCACAGACAGGAACTTTTTTGTTATGATTTCATACTGCTAACTAAATTAAAAGGGTTAAGTAGATCTGGCCAAAATGATTATCTCTTGTCCACCTGGCTGAGGAACCCAGTGGCATGTGGGCAATTAGTGACTTCTCCCACACAGGGCTAATTACTGACCTGTGGGTTTCGTTTAGAGAGGGAGGACATGGGAAGACCCAGTCATTCATTTGTCTTAATTAATTACTCTTCCTCCACCGGGGCTCCTGGCAAGGCCGGCTATTCTAAAAGCTCTGCGGAGGGTTCCAGCACTCCTAACCTGTGAGCAGCCCCCAAGCCTGGCTCTGTGTTTTCGGAGAATAACTTGCAGGACAGGGGCCATGGGGACAAACCATACAGCAGGACTGTAATGGACACAGCACTGATGTTGTAATCGAGCAAAAGAAGGTGCCAGAGCAGAAGGGGTTAAAAGAGGCAGCGGGGGCCAGGTTTGGAGAGGTTAGCGGTGTGATTCATTTTTATTACCACGCAGACCCTGCAGGCGGCAGGAGTGGCAAATTATTTCTGAAACAAAGTGGAGGGCTCTCATCAGAGCTATTACCTGCCTGTTGCCGGGGGCGGCACGGAGCTACAGAGGGTGACAGTGAGAGGCCCGGCCAGTGAGGGATAGCCGTCCACATCCGTCCACGCTCCAGGACATCTCCCCCAAATGAGAGAGTGTGTGTGTGTGTGTGTGTGTGTGTGTGTGTGTGTGTGTGTGTGTGTGTGTGTGTGTGTGTGTGTGTGTGTGTGTGTGTGTGTGTGTGTGTGTGTGTGTGTGTAACTGTGTGTGCCAGTAGACGATAAGGTTAAAGTTAGCTGTTGGAGCTCCCCCGTCAAAATAGTCTGTGGTGTTTTCTATCACAAACATGCCAAGCAATTAGAGGTGACGTGCAAAACAAGACCACTCCCAGGCGCTAATTAAAAGAACAACTACCTTCCAATATGCTGACTGCAGGGAAATGTATTATCACAGATTTAACTGTAGCATAGCTTTTTTTAATTAGGCATCCTTTATACAGTAAATTAGTTAGTTATTGTTGTCAATGGCTTTATTAACGTCATTCATTTGTAACAGATAAGTTGTTTGACAACAACTTTTGGGTCAGCTTGTCAAATATCTATTTAGTTTTTTACTATAAAAATAAAAATAATACATTTAAAAGACTATATTGGTCTTTCTTTTCTTTTAAGTCACTCTTGAAAACTCACTTTTTTTGAATTGCTGTTCTGTGATTTGATTTAGTTTATTATTTTATTATTATTTTCTATGTGTTAAACTCTGTGTTTGTATGATGCTGTTTAGTTCAGTTTTTCTTCTTTTGATTTTTCTTTGTGTAGTTTTAATGGCGTTCTCTTTTATATGAAAGGTGCTTAATAAAGTGTATTATTAATACTATTATTATTTATTATTATACGGATGACTTAACGAACTACAAGCTTGAAAAGGCTTATTAGAAAGACATGAGAATGTATTCAGATTAATACAATGTACAACTACATTATGACAAGATTGAAATACTTAGCATTGTCCCAAGGTTTTCATTTTTTTTACAACCTAGATATCCAAAATGTGCTCATATTAATGGCTTATAGTTTCTCTAAGAAACCATCAGTTACATCTTTATGAAGGGTGCATTATTAAAGAGTGGTAGCATACAATGTTCTACAAACATGAATAAGTGCACATATACATGGATATAGCCATGTTTCCTATTATGATGCCTGTAATCAGTCCGATGCTGCTGTGGGGATCTGCGTACGACAAATCTATACATTGTGTTCTCTGGATCCAGAATATCATAAACTAAACCAATCCTGTGGATGAATGCTTTTAAGTTAAATCTCAAAAATGCAAGGGGGTAAAACTAGTGTTGCAGGAGACATTCAATCAGACCCTGAGTTGATATTCAGGTAGTTACTGAATCGTTTAGATTAGGTGTCACTAATGTTTAGTGGGACTCGGAGCCATACACTGCCTGTGTGCCATCACAAAGCTGCTACATGTCACCGATCTGACACAATTAAAATCCTCTCATATGTTAAGAGCAGCCTACGCAGAAACAGAGTCAGGTCAGGATTGATGGCGTTAAAAGAAAGAAATCAGAAAAAGTACATCCCCTTAAGTCGGTAATAATTCATCATTGGTGATAAAGCAGAACATAATTTGATACGAGAGTTACACCCACGAGGGTACATTGTTCTATCAGCAGCAAAATCATGAGCATCTCGATAACCAGTGGCCATATATGATATTTACTACTGCTGTGTTTTGTCTGAAGATTAGTTATGCTGCAAATGAGATTTATTGTTTGACAGTGAAAACTAATGGAGATGCTGCTGCAGGATAAGATCGGATTTTTTTAGACAATGAAGAAGCTTCCTGCTGCAGGCGACGTGGGACTGACAGTGGTAGGGAGAGGAATCAACATCAATAATCTTTCATCAAGTCCACAATGGAGCACTTTAGCACAGATACCATTCAATAAATAACTGTAGGCCATCATTCAGTGCTGAACTGGCCGGAGAGCGCACCGTGGGTTCAAGGGGAAAAGGTCGGAGACTGCAGGTACAAATAGCGAACAGAAAGACCCTGGTCATTAGCAAACTGAACCTTTATTAGGTCCTAGTATGTGCACAAACTATTATTCGTGTATGATCAGCAATGTCTTTGATAAAGTGTCGGCTGAGACCATTTACAACAAGAACTAGGAAAGTGGATTTTTAAGGTACGCATTTACAACTTGTTTTTACAGTAAAAAAAGCCTAATGTTTTCTAGAAAGCCTGTTTTCTTAACCCTGAACCATGAAATAGTGAGTCAGAGACGTCATAGATTTGGAAAAAGGTTAAAACTCCTCACTTATGTTATGTGAGTAAAAGTCGAACACATGACGGGATAGGAATTATTGTCACTAATAGCTTCAGTTTTAGCTAAAGAATTCAGAACAGTTGTCAACTGCTGATATGAAAGATAATGACTTTTGACTGATGAGATATAAACCTGCTAATTAATTACTGTATTGAAGAAGTTAAACATGTCTTTAAATGTGAATAGTTTGCTTTCTTTTCAAGATAAGTCGATAAGTTATATCAAATAAATACATGTAGTAAGTGGTGGAGGCCTTACCTAAAGAGCTACAAAACCGTGCATGTTTTTTCAGTTAACAAAAAAAACAGGACACGACACAAATAGTGCTGCTGCTAATGCTGCTTGTACCATTGTCTGTACTATAGAAACTGCTTGAATGCTGATTACCTTAATGTCTGCATTATCAATAACATCTCCTAACTAGCTGGGAATGCAAAATGGTTCTAAGTAACGCTTTAAAATAAAATAATATTATATTCTTGTTATTTCTGATCCATACCAGCTGCAGCATTAAGAGCAGCATCAGTCGAGAAATGAAGCAGATATGTTTCTCTGTTGGTATATTCAAGTTACTAAGCTGTGATGTTAAAGCAGTGAACTGGCATGCGGGGAGAGCCTACAGACAGTCTCTTCCTGACAGACAGATTGATGACCCGGCCCAGTGTGATGGATATGTGACATGGCAGTCGGGGGCCTGAGGGCCCGGCTCTTGGAGAGGGGTTAAGCCGTAATGGTGTGCTTAATTACCTGCACAGCCACATAGCAGGTCATTAGTCAGACTGGGATGCTAGGCCTCACCTGTCACTGGGAGATAAACAATCCTCCAACAGATCTGGGACCTCTCAGGAGAGGGGGCTTATTGTGTCCGGGGTTAACTTGGGACAGGACAGTAGGGAGCAGGTGGACAACTATCATTTAAGAGATACCTTCAAAAGAGGGAAAGCTACTAGTTGGGTTGTCAAATAAAAACTGGTTAAGTAAATTGTACGTGTGTCAAGTTGCATCTCTTTTTTTTGGGGGGGCTCATTGACTCTGCTCTGTTTGAGCATGTGCAGGTGCTGCCTTGTCTAAAGTACTGGAGCAGATTTGAAGAGATTCTTAAGTCAAATTAGACTTTATGCACCTCCATATAGCCAGAATAGAATGCTCCTTGTTTTATAACCACATTTCCCCAAAACTGACTATTAAACTGTGATTTGCATCAGGCTCCTCTGATCTAATCATTGAATAGTCGACTTGCACCTAGAATAGTGCATAGTTTTATACAACACATTCCTACCCATTATACTCTCACTGATTTCAGGCATCATCAAACGGCTTGGGCTGGTTTCATATGTATTTATTATTCAAATATATTTTCCTGATGAGCGCTTACATGTCAAATGACAAACTTGATGGATTTGGGCATTTATTTGGTAAGTGCAACACTCCCTTCAATAAAAGGCAAGCTAGTGGAGAGACGGACTCTGTTGGAAATAATAGATATTATATCCAAAGAAGAAGAGACAACGGGATAGAGATGGAAACAAAGTACCAACTGGAGAAAGACACAGAGGCAGTGTGATCAATGTGTACAGGACGGACTGATGCTCAAACATAAAATACTGTTTCCTCTCAAGAGACACTTCTGGACCCCCGGTGCTGCTTATGGAGCGTTTTGTGGCGTGAACTGCCTGAGCTGAAATGTGGGTGGCTAATAAACGGCAGGTAATGGAGAGAAGACGGCGCTGCCTTCTCACACTATAATCTCCGTATGCCTCATTAAGCGGCACCTGTACGTGTAGAAGAAGGCTCACCTGGTGGTGTCGTTGCCTGGCTTGCTGTAGCCCTCCAGAGCCCCCTCCCACACGCTGTTGGCCATGGCGTTCCCGATGGCCGTCATCACCATGCTGAGCTCCACCGGCCAGTCGTCCAGGTCCAGGGAGCGCACGCGGGACAGGTGGGTGCCCAGGTTCCTGTGGATCCCCGAGCACTCGATGCACACCAGGGAGCCCAGGTTCAGACTGGCCCAGTCGGGGTCTGAGGAGGGCAAGAAATCATTTTAATGATAGAGTTAGAGAAGTAAAGAGGAAAGCTTCATAATCTCTTATTTAAAAAAGGAGATTTTTAAGCTTTTTACATCTGTATAAACTGGATTCAAGAAGAGATTTCGTAAGGATTACTTTGCATCTTACATTATACTAATTTTAGCTTTAAACTGAATTATTTTTGTAGCATTATCATCTGCACTGATAACATGAGTTTTCAATGTCTTATATTATTATTATTCACGATATGTTATTAGATGTTTATTTAGAGCAGGAAGAGAAGAACCTGTAACCCTCTTGGCTGAGTCTTGAAGAAAACAGGAAATGCTTTAAGGAGCTGATCCTGTAAAGGTCGCTAGATTCGGCTCTGACACATTTAGCTTAGGGTACAATTCTGACTAAATGTAAATAAATAACAGTTAAGTCATATAAATACTGTAAGCTACAGGAGGTTGCATTAAAACATTATCAACTATTAAAAAGAGGTAAGCACAGGCTCTTAAATGACACAGACGGAAATGTAACCTACTATAGCAGAATTTGACTTTTAGAATAATTGTTGACATAAGAAATAGAGAATTGAGTTCGGGTCACAATGTCACTTCTTTAGAGAGCTATGTTGGTGGAGATTATTAAAACATTATTGGAAAGTAGCAGGGAATAAAATAGGGTTATGTTTGATGGAAATGTTTCTCATTATTGAAACATGTTTGTTCCTCTCAGCTTAGTTCTGGTTAATTGCCCACATTTAGATGTTCTGTCTGTAGTAGCAAGTAACAAATGGCAGTAAGTGAAAATAGCTTAAATCTCAATTGAAACCTAATCCATTTTTTTTTTTTTTTTTGCAACTAATGTCTTTGTATATTTGTAAGTCAAATAGTGAGTAGAATACAACAATTGAGTCAAATGTGTTACCACCAATAACTTGCAATAACTTAATAATAATTAAAACCACCCAAAAATGGATGTTTTACTATATTTCCATCTTTGGTCAAATATGGAGGTATAGAAACCATTTATTTATATAGGCCTTATCGAGGAGAAATGGGCTGTTGCAGTGGATAAATATACTCACTGGGTGCATCACAGTCCACACAGAAGCTGTTCCCCCTCACGTTCCGTATGGACTGAATGGCCATTGCATCACTTTGGCTGCCTAACCGAGACTGCAGGAAATGAGGGAGAGAATAAGTCAGCAGGAACTAATCATTGATAGAGTAAAAGAACGCAAACAATTATAGCTAGATTCAAATAATAGACAACCGGTGAGGAGGAGGGAGGGATGAGGTTTTCCAAAAGAAAAGACAGAGAAAATATGAATATGTAAAACAAGGCCGTGTCTGCTCAGTCTGCTGACACAAGCCGTGTTCTTTCTCTGATGTCTGTCAGTTCTAATAAGAGATCCCCCACACTGCGGTGCACCTGTCTGAAAACCTCCCACATGTGACAGCTTGAAGTGGGTGAGGAAGGGCGGGGGGGAGGGTGAGGGCGCAATAAAGGTTGGAAAGAAGGGGGGAAACAGAGGAATGTAAATGAAGCTGCAGAATTGTAGGAAGATGACGACGCTGTGATTAGATGATTTCCCTCCCATCCTCCTCATAGTTATTATCCTCCGTGCTGTACCTTGTTCTTTATGCTCTCGCAGGACTGCAGGCTGGCGAAGATCTGGCTCTCGATGGCTAGGACCCACAGCTCCCTCTCCTCGTACGTAGAGGCTTCGAAGTTCCACGTCTGACCCGTCAACGACACGATGATGAACTCAAAGGAATCCTCTTGTTCTGCCAAAACACAAATAAACAATACATTAGGACTGAAGAAACAAGCATATCAGTGGTTGCAATCTGACCCTGCGAGTTAGCGACACAGCTCAGTGACCCAGGCCCATTCACGCATCAACGCACGATGACATAGGTTGCTGTTAAACTCAGAAACACTCCAGTTTTCCCAGCACCTAGTGCACTGCCGTTTTCAACAATGCCTCGAAATCTCAGTCTTATAAATGCTAGGATGCATTTTTTTTATCTTTCATAACATTACTCATTAGCAGCAACACACAATATAGTCTTTTATTAGAAATCTGATTTTTTTTTTTTTCTTTGATTTACACATTTAGTTAGCAGTTATCCCAAAGTTGTACAATTCTAAATATGTACAGACTTGACAGAGGAAAAAAAAGGTCAATAATTTCAACTTATTTTGTGAGAAATTATTACATTTTGGCATAGAGCATGCATGTTCAAACCACAAGACACTCCATTGCTGTTGCCATGTAGAAGAAGGCTATCAGGGTTGTAGAACATTCAAAAATCTCCATCACTAAATGTGTGCACAATAGTTGCAATAACTCAGTATCTGCAAGTCAATGAATTGAAGATACAGATGGTATATTGTTCTTTATCAATATGCTGTTATTGAGGCATGTGACAGAATGTGTCACCGTGATTGGATGTTGTAGGAATACACCTTGGGAGTGAATTTAAACTTCTACTTTTTTAAATGTTCACAGGCGGCTTCTTTTTACTTTTTGATTAAAGAACCAGGTTGAGAATCCCTGCATTTCCATGGTTTAGCCAATGACAGATTCTAAGAGACTATTGTGTTTATAAAAACAAATATCGTCATTTTTTAAAACCAGTTATACACCCCAGTTACCAATATTGACAGTGACCTTGACTTCTATAATGTAAGCTCTTTTCAGGGCATGATATATTAAATATGGGTAGCATTGGTTTATATTGCTAAGCAGTTATAATAGAGTCTGAAAAGGGAATACATTAAGTCCAGTTATGTTTAGTCAAGTACTAACTATAGTCTTTTTTCTTATTTTAATATATTATGAAAACTCATTTGGCCCTTAAATTGGTTTTGACTCAGCTGGTTTTCTCCGCTGCCCTTTTGTGTTTAACTAAGATTTATAACAATGTCACCTGTCGTTTTCAAACGAGAGGTCTGACACAACATATGTTCCAACACATGCTGTAATGGCTCTGCTGTTCAGAAGCAATTCATTAACTCGGTACTGTACAAAGTGACTCGTGTAACATCTCTGGTCTGTGCACATGCTTGAGCTCATAGCCAAATGATTTGTAATTACCTAATTATGTCTATGCAAATAGTCATCTCATTTGCATAAACCATGTTTGGAGGACTGGAGGCGAGTAGACACGAGGGGAAGGTTTTTTTTCTTCAGTAGCTTTATCATTAATAGAAGTTACATTAAAAGGACATTTATTTAATGTACAAAATATGTATACTTCTAATGTATTGTGTATTAATGTATCCGTTTTTGTATATTAAATTAACTGCATGTGTGTAGTTATCAAATTATGGCAATCATTTGTCAGACAAATCATCTAATCAGAGAAATTAGTGCACATTTATAATCAATTGAGCCTCCTTGGTGCGAGTCGCAGCCCTGTGAATCCGTAAATGACAGATTTCTGACGGACGGTGTGATGTAGCGATCCCTGAGCCTCGGTGGAGGGCCATCTCTTCAGGGGGAAAGCAATAATCCAATTAGCTCGACACCGACTTCAATTATCTGATTCAGTTTGTGGAATCGACTACAGGTCAGGAGGAATCAATAAAGCCTTGGAAGCCTCTTTATTTAGACTAACAGCGAGACACTATGTGGGTGTTACACTTTAAAGCACTGGTGGGGATTCAAATGGAAACAAAATTGGTTTCAGAGAATCAAAACGGTTTACTTAAGAAAGTGACAAGGAATACAAAATGGAGAGAAAATCTAATTAGGAAAAAAAAAAAGCATGATTAATTGAAAAAACATACAGTAAAAATCAATGCTTCCCTTGTCCGATATAACTTGAGGTACAATAACTAATGCATTTGAAATCAGTGGCTCCCAGACTCAAATGTTGTTCTACTTGTGTTTTCATCTTTTTAAGAAACCCCGAACAAAGCTAATTATTCTGTTGGCTGCCCAGGCAATAAATTGGAGGCATTAAAACACTTTCATTATGGAGATTAAAAAAGCAACGGATGGCTGGTTTCTTAAACTGATGAGTATACAAGGGAAAACAAATCTAATTCTCCATGCATAGTAATGCACAGGCGAGACATGGTGTAGCCACTAAAGAGACAGAGGAACATGTGAAGCAGGAGGCTTTATGTGGGACTCCCGTGTTGTCATTACATGCAGATCCAGCACACGGATATTACTTTTTAATGCCGTCCACAGTGTGGCAATTCAGCTCTATGAGGCAAAGTAATTCTGCTCCATGTAAGCACGGTGCTGAGGTCAAAGTGGTCTTCACAGAGACGCTAACTCTGAGCAGGAACAATGTGTCAAAGGCATCGGCGCTATCTTACAGGCACCTGACGTGATGAGCTTTTAAAAGGGCCATTAGCGCTTCTGTTATTACTCAATGAGAGCAGTTAGCACATGGCTAGCAGAGGAACGATCACCTTGTCACATTACCGCAAGCATTAACCTCCTGACCAAATCTATCCGCGAGCATATGATCAACAAGTTCTTACCAATTAGAAATAAATTAACACAGCTCTGCCAGTGGGCGGACAAGGAGGAACACAATTTAAAGCCAACGGAGGAGCCAACTGTGAAGAATGAGCGAAATATGATTTTCTTTAATTAACATGGCGTAATAAAAAGGAAATTAGAGCTTAATGGCCACAGAGCTGCGACGAGGAAGGAACAGATACACTTCCTCGTCAACGCTTTACATGGATCATAAAACTGTTCGGGATCCTCCCAGTTACAGATGTTATCCATCAGATTACTTAATGGATTTCGGCAGCAACACAACCGCACTTCAATAAGCAGAATGTTTCGTCAATAATAAACGATTACTTCGAGATACTAAAATAGGAGGTTAATGCATTGCTTATATTTACTGGTGGCAGTGGTGGAAAGTAACTGTAGATAAATACTTTATTGCTTTTTATATTTATCTGACAGCTTTAACTACTAGTTACTTTTTAGATTACTTTTATTTGAAACATCCAATGAGCCTTTCATTTGTGAAAAGTGAACCCTTACTAAAAGATGATGATTGGAGTTCATCGCGTACAGATGTTATTTACAATTTTAAGTGTTTTACAGTTGAACCAGAGTGATTTAACATTTCATTTCAATTTAAAGTAAAAATCTAAATTAACAGACAAATTGTTCTGTACTCTGTTTAATGTGCTGAAAGTGCCATGTCTGCAAAAAAACAAATAAAAAGATTTTGAAAAAACTAAAGAGGTCAAATACCGTTATAAAGTTATCAAATTATTTGTTTCATCTTTCCAAAGTGCAATAGGATTTTGGGCTTTTACTTTGAGTATTTTAACAATATTGTTTAGTTAATCTGGTAAAGGATGTGGAAACGTTTTACACCACTGACTGGCTGTTATTAAACGCAAGTTGTCCATCAAACTTTAATACCTCTAAAAGGGCATCCGTTTGACCTAAAAATCTAAGTGGAACCTGAAAGAAGAGTGGGTGTCCGGCGGACGGTGATTCCTCTCGTGCTGTGTGCTGCAGCAGATTAGCACCTCGGGGGGTATTGGTGGCCAGCCCAGCTGTGCCGACTATACTCCATACGCCAACCTAGCATCTATTCTGTCTAAGCCTCTCAAAGACCTCTGGAGACCCGCGTTATGAACCCTTAGAGAGGACTTAGCAAACACTCCTTAGCCTTGAGGACTATCGGTTTGTGTGAACACTTGGCTGAAACGATGACAAGGTGCAGAGGTACGCGGGACTGAGCTATTGTTTGGGTGTGCAGGATGTGTTGTGCCGTGTGCATGCATCAGGCAGTCACTTAAAGAAGTGCTTGCCGTTCCCGTGAATTAACGAGCAGTTGGGAAGAACAGGCCAAGGCGGTGCCATCTGTAAATGTCACAGGCACTGCTTGCTCATTTTACACATCATTAAAGCCAATATTCCTAACCTGTATCAGAGCAATCAGGAGCAGGCCATTACTGCGACAGGGGCCCCAGGGGAACCACGACCAAACTCAGAAAGAAGAGAGCAGGGAGGGAGAGAGAGATAGAGCACACTCTTTATCTATCTGACACACACACACTCGTGTACACACACACACACACACACACACACACACACACACATAGTCTCAAACAAACAAGGAGCACACCTTCCAACAATAAACAAACCCATGAAATCAGCACCAATACCACTACGCTAATAGCTAGTGCATTTAACAACAGAGCCGAATGGAAACAGGGCCAATTATACATGTGTCTGTGGGCAGTGTGTACGGAGCCCAAATGAGAATCTTGTTATTCCTTTCCCTCCATACTGTGGCGCTCAGAAAGCTAAGCCATTACAAGAGTGGAGGCTCCAGGGACAGCTTTCGGAAATGAGAGCGAGTCGGGGAGTGACAAAACAAAGTATTGAGATAAACACCCACCATTAGCACAGGCAGTTAAACCTCCATTTCCTAATCCTCAGCTGGACTCCAGAGGATATAAACCCTTACTTTGCAAAAGGTGCAGGACAATAGGATACCAGATTGGGTTGGACTGGCAATATATTACTTAAAACCGCTTCTGATCGACTGTCAATGCAGGTTCACTTATAGTTTGGGCACAGGAAGCTATGAGACCTTTATTCTAATCTAAACCGAAGCCAACGGTCATGAGAGAAACCCAAGAGTAACAATAGATGAATACATAATGAAAAACTAAAGATTAGGTTCCACTAGCATCAAATGATCTCTCGTACTTTAGGTATTCTGTGTTGATAGAGAAGATTTTGAATGCTATGGATCTCAAAACTCAACATCACTACAAAATGGTTTAGATTTGTTTGAGAAATGTTCTAATTACTTTTAAGAATATAAACCGGGTCAGTTGTGATTGTTGCAGCTAATTCATTCTGATTCTCCATTATCTAGTTACTGCTAACTGTGCCATTTATCTCAGTAGAGCCACTTTATTTTGAGTACGATTCTCTGCAGGCTTTCCAATCGTATATTATATTTTCCAACAGTGTCCATTTCTGTTACCCGGACAAAAACTGAGCTGGAACCAGCTGGTTTTCTATTAAAGCATAAAGCTCTACTTTGCTTTATTAACACATTGCTGTTATATTCATATGTCCATTTCATGACATTTGTAGATCAGAAAGAATGCAGTCATTGATTTGGTCTATTTAAGCTTAAGAACACTTATTTAAAAAGAAAAGTTGAAGCTGTTTATATGTACGTGTTAAAGTATGCAAATATAACACGGATATGTATTTTAACTAAATATCATTGAAGTTATGTGGTCACATTCCAACAGTGACACTTTCAACACATGCATTAATGACAACACTTTGTTCCTATTGAGCAAAAAGTTAACATTTCCAATTTTTTTATTATTATGATTGCACATTCCCCAGGTAATATGTGACACAAAGCTAACATTAGCACGCGCCTTTTAGGAATCCACTTTCTCAACAAATACAAATTAATTCCCTATCCCGCTCCAATTGCCGACTCAATCCAGTAGAAGAGTCCATCCAATCACTTGAAATTCAATCAATTTGAATGACAAAATAAAAGTATTTGATTCAAATCCATTGTTGAGTCTTCTATTGAATAAGAGGTTTTATTAACCAAATTAAGATCTGGTTTAAAAAATTCTCCGCCGCACATTTTAGTTTGTTAAAGCAGAGAGTCTGACGTGCATATCAAGATAAGCTTCCTTTAGCTGGACTGTAGGATCAAAATGTGCAAAAACAAAAAGGAAAATGTGTCTGTGTTGAAAGTTGCCTTAAATCAAATCTTATGTTGTTAATATAAATACGACTTTAACGCCTTCTTTATATCTCAGGCAAACACTTATCCCTGATTTCTGTGACCTTAACACGAGTAAATATCTTCATCCTTACACCTGAAAGAATCCAGAAGGAGCCTCTTGTCACAATTCTCCTCAATTCCTGCACCTCGTTTTCTGCTCACACTGAACAAGCTCAGACCTCCAAAACAATGAGCATTTGATACACTTTCTTTAAAAGAGAAATACATTAATGATGCTCCCTGACAGTCTGCATTAATCAGAGGGGGCTCCCCCTGAACACAACTCTTTATCGGCCATCGATTTTCCAGTGGGTTTATGGCGAGCGACACACGGAGAAAGCCCGTCGCTGGGCGGCTGCTGGGAAACACATTACGGGGCTGTCAGTTGTCTCGCCATGCATCCTGCATCATTCTTTAAGCACATGAGAAGTTCATTACACCACACAGCTCTGACAGTGCATAGGATATTAGGGACTGTGTGCATTGTGCATATATTTGGTGGAAGTGTAGCTCCGCAGACATAACAGGGAATGTATACATTATCCGAATATGGCTTTAAAATGATTAGAAATAAAAATAGATTGACATTAAATTGAAATTAAGGCCAAAACAAGTGTTACATCTCTTGGCTTGCCAAAAGGTATATTCAAATGTTTGCAGAATCGATATTTCATATAGTCAGATATGTCATTTGTCCTTTCATAATCATAGTAATATACTGGTTATAAACATGATTCTCTCCCACTTCAGCAGCCATGTAGAAGAGTCTCGCTAAGTAATGTAGTGCCACATTTAAGAAATGATGTTGCAGCAACGGTTTCTGCAGGCTTCCTCCTACATCCTACACGTCCCATGTTGACTAAAATGATTTCTCACCTAAAGACGCGCACGCTGTTTTGATTTATGATGCTTCACAACTACTAAAATTCAATTTCAGCCTGTATTGCACGCTTCTGATTGCCCCGTAAATGAGATAAACTGATAGCAATTTATTCAAGGATCCCACCTCTCCTCTCCTTTCTTTTTCCTTCTTCTTCTTCTTCTCTCTCTTCTGAGCTTTCAACAGGAGACACAGCTCACATCCCCAGACTTGGGTGAATCCAATATGTAAGCGATACGTCTGTATTCCAGAGCATTCAGCAGAACAGACAAGGTGATGCTAATAGAAAACCTGGCAGAGAACCATGAGAGGCACAGAAAACAATGTGCGTGTTTGATGACGTGAGAAACATTCAGAAGCTGCCTCCTCCAGTCTGATTACTCTTAGATGTTCCACTCAGGAAGTTATCTGACTTAATTATTCCTCTGTAGGGCACTTATCGATGGGACGTGATGATGTTTAATATAATGCAAACCATCACTCATTCAAAAGCTTTAACACAACGGTGTGACTGTCAGGAGAGCAACATTATAGCTCAGTTATAAAACAGAATTAATGGACTCTGGACTTGTTAACTATGCTAGTAGCTGCTTACTGCTACTGAACGTTAATAGAAAAAGTGGCCATGCCAATTGTACAAAAACAATCAGATCTGGGATTAAATTCACTAGTATTATGATGTGACCACATACTTCTCTAACAACAGAAAAAGCACCACTTATCTCGCACCACTTATCTCCGAGATGCTGATGATGTTCACTCCAAACAACAATGTGGTCAACAGACTCATTCAGACTTTAAAGAGAAGCTGTCAGAGACCATGATAAAAAAGTGTAATGATTATAAATGCTAAGCCCCATTTAGGAGGCGTCAATGCCATTGTTGTTGTTATCCAGCGTATCAATCTTGTTGATTGATCATCCCGCTCCGGTGACATCAGTTTTATGGCCTCTGAAATGCATCCCAGTGTTTTCACAATGCCATCCAATTAGAGTACTCCATTTATCATTGGGCTGGAGAATCATTATTAATTGGGTGGAGAGCCGACTGCCACTCCCCCGCTGAGAGGGGCCACGGCTTCTGGAGATCGGGGCCTTTCAGGCGACGGTAAAAGAAATGAGGGCTGTGAGGGTGAAATGTGAAGGAGGGCCACAAAGAGATACAAAACGACACACCTTCATGGACTTTAGAGGAGAATTCAGTCAGAATATGGAAGATATTTGTTTTTCTCAAAATGCAAGATGAGAAATCTGATCATGTGAGAAGTTGAATTCAAAGTGGATATTTGGTTTATTAACCAATGAGTTACTGCACAGAAAATAAAAGAGACATTGCATTTAAGTTACACCATAATTTAGTGTAGGCTACATTTCTACTGCAATGTTTGACATTACCTTCATTTCCTCATAAAGGGCTTCACTATGGGGGCGTAACATTCAGCTTACCCCCAAATCCCTCCCACCTTGTGCACCTTTGAAGATGTGACCACTCACTGGCTTCCAAACATAAAGCCTATTGTGTTTGTTGATAAGCACAACCAATTTTGCACAGAGAAAAATAAAACGTTTTGTTGCGTTTGCAAAAATAAGTTTTGTTCAAATTTTTACTTCAAAATCAGCAATTTGTTCTTTCAGATAAAAAGTATTTGTCACGTATATATCCATCGCCATTAAACTATGCAGAGGTCGCAACGAATGATTTGAAGAGCAGTGGTCAAACCTTAAAATAGACAAAAAACAATGTAGAAAATTTGATAGCAATATAGCATTGTTATATTTTTAGTCTCTTCAGTAGCTATTCATGTGCGTTAATACGTTTGAACGGAAATACAACTATTGGTAGGTAAATATTTTGGTGGTTAAGCTCCTCTGTATGCCATAGATGATTTTCTGATGTTTCAGAAGTCTTAGTAATTTAAAATGTTTATTTTCGTACCTTCGTTGCCTGCAGATAAGCCGTCGGGCTTTGTGATGCCCGTGCTCTTTTTCCGTCTGTGCTTCTTGCGGTTGGCGTGTGGAGAAGGAGGCGGCTCAAGCTTTGGACTGGTGGCGCTGCCCACACTGGAGCTCGCAGGATCACTCACTCCATTGGCTGTAAAAACACAGACAGGGGGAACAACTATTATCATTTGAGTTGAATAAATAGGGTATTGTGATTTTGTTTACATTATAAGCCTGATTTTGCAGGGGAAATGCAAAAGGTCCCGCTCAACGTTGATCTGATTTAAAAGCACCGTTACAGCAACTACACATTGGAATCATCGCTTAAACTTCACGAGTTTCTGAAACAAGCTAATCCAGAATACGTATGCTACTTGAGAAATACAGCTGACAGAAGGTTATGTCTAACTTCAAAACTAAGGGAAACACTTAAATGAAGAAAATAATATCAATATGTGTTGCTATGAGGAACCATAATATATAGATAATGAACTGCAGAAGATGGATGAAGAGCATCCATTAGTGTCCAATTTAATCATAAAGTCGTTGATGAAATATCAACTAGAAATGGCTCTGGCAGCGGGCTTCATGTTGGCTGGGGTGAAGATTTTTTGTGCCTAATGAGGAGTGGTGATTAGTCCACTATTAATTGCTAGTGGATTGCATTCATTGCTCTTGCTGAAGTCCAATATGTCGAAAGCAATATATACATGTGAAATCCAACAAAATGACTCTTTGTGTGACATGGGCAGAGTAAAAAATAAATACAGATTAAAACAATTTAACACCACTATTTTAAAAATAAACTACCGTAGGTTGGCTGTTCAATTTAAACGGTTAAACTAAAAAAATGTATCATCTTGTGTGAAATCATTCTGAAATGACAGCAATGAATACTGAATGACATCTATGTATGTATGCAAAGTAAAGTCTTCACATCCTAAAACTGCGTCCTTGGCAGTGTGAGTTGGAAACGGCTCCTAAAGTAACGGTATGGCTCGGGCATTAGATAGAGCGAAGGACAGGTGAGGGGCCATCAGTGAACAAATGGTTACCTAAGTCAGCCGGCGGCAAAGCTCTCTATATGACTGTCTGAGAGTGACAGGGGGCAAAGAGCCGGCTTTGTTTCTTGTAAGTGATTTTATAAATGTGATATTAACCTGTGCTACCGTTGGGCAAAGGGAGAGGAGGGATGGGACGGTAGGAGGGGGTTGTCAGCTTGCCATCTTTCTGATTTCCTGACATTTGACATCACTTTCCCTTCTTTCCCCCTCCGGATGCCATTATGAATCTAGGAGTGGGGGGGGCCAGGGGCCTGGGGGAAGCAGGGAGGGAGGGCCGGTAGATGGGCCCCATATTGCTCTCCCCTTACCACCCTGTGTGGTGCTGGCAGCCTCCTCCATTGTCTCCCATCAAAAGCTCATTGTAGTGTAGCAAACTCCATTCATTTCCCGGTGCACCGTCCCAGCCCCAGGGGTGGAGTGCAGGAGGACAAGGGGCTCAGGGATTATTGCTGTTGTCGTTGCCAGTTGCACATGCTATAATGTGCAGCACGGTGCCATTAGCCAGTGTACAACATTAGGCCTAATTTGGTCATTACCTTTAGGGAGATGGGGCTGTCTTAGAGGAGTAAGATGGGCTCAGCGGGGGATTGAAGATGCTAACGTTGGGGGAGAGGGGAGCTCTCGGCCCAGGGACGTATTGTTTGAGCGTGGGCAAAAATAGGAGGCAACACCTGAGACACACATTGTTGGGTCGGTATATAACCAAGAGATTCATCTTAAACTGTACGTATACAAACAAGAATTAGAACTGGAAATCATCATTTAGTTATAACAACAGTTTAAGAAGAGAAGTGGCCATATTTAAAAGTGGTATTCATATTTGGTTATAAAAACGTAGGTGCTAGTGGGGAAATAGCCTTATTGATTCGACACCATCACATTAATAAACATAACATTGGTGCTTGTGCTGGACGACATGCATTAGGCTCTCTGGTGTTTTGAATGGCAGCGCGCAGCCACACATGTAGCAGCTTCTAGTCGAGGCGTCTGTTTCAATTTCCCTGCTCTCTTACAACAGCCCCCCTGAGACGAGTCATTAGCTGGCTCAGACAGCTGGGGGCACAGGGGTCCTCCATGTGCACCCCCCCCCCACCCTCTGCTTCCTCCTCCCTCTCCATTGCAGCGTCTGTCCCGCCAGCACAGCTCCGTATGGCGGGTGGAAGACTAGAGCTGCAACCTGCCTCCGACGTGACAGCCAGCATTTGTTTAATGTCGCTTGAGGTTAAAGGGGAGGGCTGCCCCTCAGGGACCCCAACCGTGTCATAAACACCTCTAATTATCAATTTCTGCCCCTAATGTTGTGGAAAATGACCCTGGCCCCGCTCATCCTGCACCTGAAACATATACGGGGTGATACACTTCCCTTTGTCTGCACCAATCAGGTGTTAGGAGGTCTGTACCATGAAGGTATAGCAGCAGGGAATGGAGTTCACATCACCGAGCAACAATATCAAAGCACCTGAGACCTTTTATATAATCTAAAGTCACCTGTCTTTTAATGGCTTTCAGCTCTAAACTGTGCACAACTGATTATATATTTTAAATGGAGAGTTATGGAGTTACAAGTGGACTGATTCTACAAGCATAAAATTCACTTTGGCGTTATTAGCTGGCTGTTAGTGTGTATGAGGGCCATCAGGACAGAGCTGGGTAATGAAGCACTCCGGGTATCAGGAGTCTCTTTCCCACTCAGCCAGGATCACCTGGGCAGCAGGAAAGGTATGAGGCTAACCTGTGATTACAGTGCACTCCACTCCCACCACCGGGGTTATACATGCTACACCATGACGGCTGAGGGTGAGACAAAGAGGGCCGCTAACAGCTCCTGCTTTTACCATTGCACTGAGAATGAAAAAAAGGGTGAGAGAGAGGCAGGGAGAGGGGGTGAAGAGAAAGGGAGGGGGGGAGAGTTGTTTCATTGTTATTCAAGAGGCTCCGGGTGAGGAGCAGTATGATTCCACCAGGCCCCTTGACATGGCAGCCCTGCCTGTCCTCAATCAAAGCCAACGGCTGCAATTAATGGCAAAAATTAGAAACAATCACCGCCTCCCCCTTATTATCCTCAATTAGAGCGTACTAATCAAGGCCTGATCGCGCTCTGCTGCTCTCTCCAAACTAAATGTCAAACTTCATTACGGCCTAGCGTAGAAATCAAACGCCCCGCATGCTATCACCCTCGCATCGGGAGGCCAAGGTGTAAAACACAGTGCCACGGGAGAAGGCTATCTGTGCATTAACTACCTGTGTCCTCATATGCAAACTTACATAGAAATGAACACAAAGCAGAGGGGAAGCATCAAGGTCTCGGAGGACAGAAGTAAAGGCTTTCCATAGAGGAGGGTGGGCAATATGGATACAAAGAATATTGTAATAACCGTTGCAGAATTATCAACACTTATTATTTAGTATGTAACTAAACGCATAGGTTAAAAAGTATTGATATTGCGTCTCTCATTAATGCCACAACAAATAAATACTTTCATTGTGTAATCTCCGGAATATTTTCCAATAAAATGTGGGAAATTATAAAAAAAAGTCCATTCAAGTTCTCCAGAGCTAAAAAGGACATGTTCCAAATATGTTATTTTCTATTAATTATGAATATCAATCATCCAAATTATTGCTTTTATGTTGATGAACGTAACTATTAATTGACTAATGGTATCAGGTCAACCCACTAAGAACAACATTTTATAATTTAAGAAATGACTTAATTCTTCAGTGTGGACCGATTTCAGCTTTTCATTTGTTTTATATTTTTTGACCTTAAGAACTGTGCACCAATATATTCTACGATATATTAATATTGAATTAATTATTGAACCATCACTCATTGGTAGCTCTGATCCACAGTAATCTTTGCCTGTGGGAACGTCACATCACTCACACTTTGACCATGACTTAAGTCATTGTCATCAGCGAGCCCATCACCACTCTTTGAGCCTCTTGCATTTAATTCAGGCTCAGAGATTGAGGTGTATGAAGGAGAGCAGGATCTAAACAAGCATCCGCTGCATTAAGAATGGGTGTCTTTATGAATGCAAGCAATAGAAAAATTGGGCCGGGATTTAATCAAAAATCTGCGCTCAATATTCAAGAGACGTTACTACCTCGGCTTCTGCCTTTGCTCAATAGGTTTACAAATGAGGACATTCTTTAAATAATATGGAAATGGTTACCTGGCTAAGACGCATTCATCCTCCAGTGAATCATCAATCTGCTGTTTTTGCATCTCAGAATCACATTTTATGTTAACCTGCAACCTTCACCAAGGATAATGGAGTGATTGGGCTAGGTTCAAGTCAATTCAGATGGCAAAACATGAGCACCCTTCACCGTGGAACACCCTCTATTGATTATTGAAGGAACATTAGGATGAAAGATAAGAGGGTTGTGTTTCAATCAACTTTATGTTTTCTGATAGTCCGGTCACACTACAGACTTAATCTGCTGCTGGTGTTCAGACTGTTAAACTGTAAGAAGACATAAAAACAAGAATTTCGGGGAAAGTTTTTGAGCTACCAAGATGTTGCTTTAAAGTGTACACCTTAGTAGGAGAGTAGCATGACAATAATTGGAGTGTGGATCTGATTTAGCTGAAGACTGGATGCTGGTTAATGAGCTATGTTAATATTGAGGTTTTTTTTCAGTTTACCAAACATAAATGGGAAATCCGAGGCCTCTTTTTTTTCACGACACAATGTTTAGGAACTCCTATTCATCCTCCGCAGACCTGCCACAAACAAGAATGAAGCTTTTTCTCCTATATACAAATTGTAATACACGCACTGTGGAAAATAAATCCCATACCAACAGCTACACACACACACGTAAAAGATCAGCGAGAACATACACAACACACACTTGGGCTCATTTATTTGAGGACCCCACGAATCTAAGTAATTCTGCTTTGGGCATGCTGCTGATGGGAGACGGGGGTAGGGGGTGATGGAAGTGCCTGCGTCCGGGCAGAATTGATCGTTTGGCAGCTCCAAATGAGAGACAGGCTTGTCTGCCGAACCACGAGGGCCGTGCAGTTGGACTCCAGCAGCGCTCGTAAAGTGCGCTCTTTAAACTGCCGGGGCCCCTGGGAGCCCATGGGGAGGGGGGGAGCCGCCGCCGTGCTAATGAGAACTACCAGAGTGCAAACATGCATGGAAATGACTGTTATTCTGTTGATGTGCATTTAAGTGCTTTTTTACTGCCAACCACAAAGAGAGGGAAATAACTGGTGATGAATGGTCCCCCCAAAAAACATTCATTTTCCTCTTCAGAAGAAAAGAGAGGAAAACAGAGGAAGGAGGAGGGGGTAAGAGTAAGATGGAAGGTAAAGACAGGAAAGGGGGAGTGTGTGTAGACATGCATGGTGAATATATTATCTTACTTCACTCAAGTACAGTGACGAAGTGCAATGTGACACAGAGAGAGGAGATGCACCGATGGCGGGAAGTTAACCTTCACTGTTCCTCTCCTATGAACACGCCGCTTCTATCAAAGAGCGGCAGCCAGAAAGGTCACAGCGATCACAGCCCTGATCACCTCATTATGAAAATGAGGCTCGATACACCTGTGTGTGAAGCCTGGGAAACGGCGTCTCCGTCTAGATCAGCTTTCACTTCACTCATCTCTATTTGAATGTATAAATTACAACAACTACAGGGGAGATTTGAGAAGAAATGTAGGGAAAAGGAGGACTTACGGGCTCCGCTGCTTGTACTGGTGTTGATGGCTTCGTTCCACTGGTCGGCGCTGGACACAGAGAAGGAGCGTTGGTGCATGCCGTCTTTACTGCTGCCAAACAACGAGGCGCCCGTCTGCAGGGACGAACTACTGTTGGAGTGAGGAGCACCTGGAATAAGTGACAAAAAAGAACATTTTTATTTATACATCCCATTGAATTCTAAAGTCAGTCTGGCAGGATTCTTCAAAAACCAAAAGTCTGTAAAGGAGTTTTTTCGAAGTTTCAACAGTACTGTAATGTTGTAGTTTCTACACAGTTACTGTTAATGACTGCTCTGCCACCGTACTTGGTGCACCTCCCACCGTCGAACCCCCCGCCCCCCCTCACACAGACACGAAACCCCTCTCCCTCCGCCTCTGCCTCTAATTAGCCCTTAATTAACAAGATACACTCTGAACGCTAATTATCTCGCCTCATCCCTCTGACTGCCACATCGATCTCCACTGGCGTCAGCAGGCGTTCTCTCCCCAACTTCCAATCAGGCGAGCCATGGACGCCTGGATCTCTTTACTAATTCATAGGCTAGGCTGCGCCATGTGGGGTCCTTCCCTCCTGTTCCACGAGCAGTCGCTACAACACTTCCTAACTACTCTGAAAAACTCATCGATACACTTCCAGTCACGTGCGGGGAGTCAGATTAACTGCTTTAGATGAACAGAGCATCAAATTGAATAGAACTGTCATGTCGTTTTTTCCAAAATTGTGTGATTTTATTTTCAAAATTACATTTAAACACAACGGAATTATGGTAATGTGACACTGGTAAGGACATATAATGTATGACCTAATAGAAAAGGTTATTATTATTAAATGTTGTCCTATAAAAAGTTAATATTCACTATTTTAACCTTTAAAATTGAGATAATTACTACATTATAAACCAATGTAATTTAATGAGGTGAAAAGAGTCTTTGTTTGGAAAGTCATATCTCAGATTTTCTGAACAATGCTTTCTGATGTTACAGGTATCAAACATCAAGGCCTTTTATTCAATAATTACAAGAGAATAGCAGTTTCTGATTGAGGTGACAATAACAGAAAATATAGAGTGTGGGTCGCGTGTAAAGTAAACTAAGCGGCACGGGTGCTTGTTAGGATAATATGTCCTACTCATTATCTAGAGTAATAAGTGTATCAAATTCACATAATCATGTCTAATTAGTATCAGTAATTATCTTGTTGGGCCCAGGAATATTAATCTTCGGGTCCCAGAGGGGAGGGAGCAGAATCGCAGCGATGATGGGAGAGAGAGCGAGGGAATCATGCTGAGGAGCACCGACTAAATTAGCATGCTGAAATCAGAGCAGAGGAGGAGGAGGAGGAGGAGGGAGGAAGAGGGGGAGAGGAGGAGGAAGGGAGGGGAGACAAAGCCGAGGAGTAAGGGTACTGAAAAGAAAATGGGAAACTTTGTTGTTTTTTTAAGTGACTAATGAATGCTATACAAATGAGCTTGTGACTTCTAGAAAAAGGGTTTTGGGTTACTTTTATCACTGTTTTAAAGAAATGGATATCAAATATTATGCAGCCACATTTTTGACCCCATATTGCAAAGATAAATGTTTAATCACCTCATTGTTTAGTGATCATTTTTAATTAGTCCACTATAAAAAATACCCACATTTCTTTCTTTCCAAAGAGTGAAGTTTGACTCTTTAAGAGAACAAAAAAACCAGTTAGATAACTACAAGGCGAGTTACATTGATATTTAAAAAATTCAACAATCACGTCTAATTGTCAAATTGGATGCTAATGATTAATGAATTAAACATGGCTGTATCCATTAGTCCCCAGAGACCACTGCTGCATAAAGGGGAGGATAATGTAATTACAGTGGAGAAATAATCAGCTTGTGGCATTAAAAGAGCAGTGTAGTGCTCCAGCCAGGCCTCCACTACAGCTCTGTGTGGACTGACGGGGACGAACTGACAACGGACAGTTTCATTTTTAGATTGAACGCTGGATTTTCCCAACTTCAGTGATCATGTTCGGGATCCACCGTCAAAAAGGAATACATTACTAAGTATTTACTTTTCATTCAATGTTCTTTTTAGAATAAAGTGAACAAGTTAGACTGTTGACATGACCGCTACCTACAAATCAGAAATATTGATGATCATTTTCTGATATTTGCCGAATATGCCAGAGGTTAATTGTGTCTAGTGTCTATTGATGAATGCATCATCATTATTTTTGCAGTCAGAATTCAAAAGCAATCAATACATTAAAGTGAAACTGCATGACAGTGGCAGAAATGAATAACATTTACAGAATTTCTGTGTATATCAGTTTCCATTAACTGCTCTCAATACTTAACTAATCTTTGAGACTTTCTGCCTCTACATTTATTTGACAGCTTTAATTATAAAGAGACTTAGTGAATATCATTTTTGAATGTAAAATGTTTCTTGGAAAGTATCACCACCTTGTTTCTTACAGTTGCATCAGTAATAATAACAAAAAACGAATCCTTAATACTATAACACTGACGATATTAAGCCATGCTGTTGCATATAAAGTCCTTTTGATTTTTCTAGCTTGTTAACATTAATGACAATATTTAATTTTCCTTACATTGAGGTAATTATTCTTCTTCTTCTTCTTCTAGTTATATATTAATAAAATATCTGAAGTCTTCGTCCACCGCTGTATCGATCGTAATTCAAAACATCACAAGCAAAGAGTCAAGTCTCCTTTACAACTGAATGTATATTGCCATTTCCATTACTAAGGATGTTGCTTTACAGAAACATTTCATAGAAAGCGTAAAATTCTTAGGAATAAATGAAAACTTAAAATAAAAGGAAGCCCCATTATGAAAGTGACTGTTTTGTAATGTGTATAAAGATATAACAGAGGCCATACAGTGTGTTCTGAGGCTCTGCAGGGCGGGGTGTTAAGTGGAGGCGATGGATTAGCGGGGAGCAGCGCTGCCTGGCTTCTCATTTCTCTTCAGGCCTGCCGTCAGTGGGCTGATGAGCCGTGACGAGGCCTGACCCCTCCGTGGAGTTGTTGCCATTATGTACAAGTAGTGGGATAATGAAGCATTCATGCTAATGTGGGCCGGGCAGCACATCATCTGCTGGCTGTGTGTAATCCACCACCATCATCCTGACCACCGCCCAGACCCCCCCCACCGTCTGCTGCTGCTGTCTGTCCCCACGCAAAACACTCAGACATTATACTCTGTATATTTTGTATTGCTCTGTATACTAGGGCTGTCAGAATATCAGATTTTCACTATACAAGGCCAAAATGGTAACAACATTATTGCCATATATATATAATCCGTGTGAGAATTTCCACTGACATTCATCTTTAACTTTGTTTATTGAGTGGTTGGTCTCTTTTCTGGCTCATTTGTGTGTGCAGTACATGGGTGGGAGACAAATCGAGAAAGGAAATAATAGGAAACTATTTAAAAGGTGCTGAAATATTTACACAATATTATATTATTATAAACAATGTATGTAATATTGAAACAGAATAAGTATTTTCATATTTATTTTCAATCCATTAAACCTTTGAAAATGTCTTTACTTGTTTCATATCCAGAGTGCAACTGCTGTTTTGCTTTCCTGCAACTATGGATTAAGGTTATTGAGAGGTGGGGTCCTTTCCTCAGAGATTAAACCAGGCAAGTCAGAAAAATAAGGAGAAGATTGCAGACAAAACTGATCTCGGTACAAAGTTATAATCTATTCCAAGGTTAAATGTACACAAAGTTTCCTTTAAGAGTGAGGAGAAACCCCCTAATTTGACAAATACATAAATTATGAAATTGGTCAACTAAATGTGCTGGAAACATCCAGCTTCTGTGCTTTGCTGTGCAAATTCAAACATGACTTAGCTTACACATCTCAACTTTTACATAATTAGTATGGTCAAAAACAGTTTAAATCAGCTTAAAATGGACACATTTGGAACATGATGGCTGGAGAAACACTTGAGCTGATTATACTGGTGTTGGAAAAATAAGTATTGTGTTGGCATTGCTGGTCAGTGAATATGTGGTTACCTGTCCTATGGGCTATTAGAGCTGGAGATAAATTGTGGAACAAGGTAAAACACTTTCCAGAAACCTCCACCTCTCCCACACGCATCCCTCTCTCCCACACGCATCCCTCTCTCCCACAGCACTGATTCAAAGTGACTGGGTCCATTAATACTTTGGTACAATGTATCTGTCGCCGGTGACACGGCAGGATGCGTGTTAACAGGGAGGATCATATTTAAAATGGTTCCGCTCAGCACCCAGCAAAGGAATTAAACCAGGCCGCTTGGCAAACTGGCGGGCGCATGCGTCCTCTCATTTACGCTCTGTCTTCTCAGCCTCTCCTCTTCATCTTCCTATCTCCCCCATCCACTCCGCCCCTCCTTCTCTCCGTCGCTATCCCTCTTCTCCCAGTGATTATAAAGGTCTTTAGATCTAAGGAATGAATGAATTACCAAAGGCACAGACAAGGCTTGTGATTTGGACGCCGTGAATGAAAAATTACCCCTTTGTTCCCTTCATCAATTGCACGTCTAATGAAATCAAAATCCCGATCGCATAATCAGAAGAGGGCCCTCCACCCAGAGAGAGACCTGATGTGATTTGTAACCTTTCTTTTCCTAAGTGGAGATTAAGGCAAATCTCACACACATTGTTCCCTGATGCACAAATAGATGGCAAGTGAAGATCCAGGGAATGTGTCATTGATGAGTCTTTTACAGGAAACAAACAACAAAGAGAACAGACCAAATGGTTTCCCGAAAACTCGGTAAAGCCTGTTTTTTAAGGCCCTTTTGTCTGGCACCATGACTCCCCTCAAGGTGAACAGATCCAACGTCCTCTGCTCTGTAAACTCCTACATCTTCCTGCTTTTGACTGATTAACATGTACAGCAGTGGCAGCTCTTTGGCCAGGTTCAACAGTAACCTGCCTGGACAGTGCTAATGGTCCCCGCTGACCTGCTTTGGCGCCGGACCCACTCACAGCCTATTAGCTTTAGCCCGAGTGAAGGAAACACTGCGCCCCGTTTCACAGCCGATGAAGGACCCCGCCTCCCTCGAGGGATCTCTTTGCTAATTAGTATTAATTACTCTTAATCCTAACCCCTAAATCCAATCACTGGCTTCCCCTCTATAAGTGTGCCAGACTCTGTGCAGCCTCCGGTGGCATCGCTCGCTGGGAGAACAGATCTATTTTTAAACTTAAAAAGTGGAGACACTGGCACAACATTCTCAGGTCCAAACGGTTTTAATTGCTTTGACCCCAACTACCAAAGAGAATGAAAAGTAACTAGGTCAGTGTCATGGTGGCATGACAGTCCAAAATAAACAAAGCTTACAACATGAGGACATTATGTCTAGACACAATCTTCAATTCCCTGTTAAGTAATTTAGAGAATTAATAGATTTCTCATAGATGCTCATTAAGTAAATCATTGTGTATATTACGAGGCAGCTAATTTGCAGTGAAACGCACATAAAGTAGATAATTAACCTGTGGGGACTAATTTTTATGATGAATCACAAACAAAAGAACGTTAGAAATAACTAGAGAAATGAAAGACTCATTGAGTAACCATTGCATAATCTACCTATGATTTGCTTTGTCTTTTGCGTGGTATACATACATTTGAAAGATTCCTCTTATGTCTTTCCATACTATAACTACAAGTGAATTATCTGGGTTTTAACATTTGGGGAAAAAAGTTGTGTTTATAATAGTGAAAGCACACGGCCATAAAAAAAGATACACATCCATGATATTTTAATTCAGGCTCACACATTTTGTTAATGTTTCTGATAAAATGTATAACACATATTACCCTGTTGGACACATACGTGTGATCTAATCTCTTGATAGTATACTTTTAAAAAGTAAACCTTTGTTCCATTGTATGTTTTCATGAGCCTGATAAAGAACCTACTGTAGGAAACCGTGGTCCTCCTATCAGAGTGAGAAGATCTTTGATAATTGACTTCATACGTGACAAAAAAAAAAGAATTGCTAAAACTGCCTTTCTCTTTATAGAACTGCTACTTTTTCTGTTTCCAGGCTGGAAAAGTTTTGTAGGGTGGCCCTGAAGTGCAAGTCAAAACAACATTTCACAAAATGCTACAGCATTTCACAAAACACTACAGCATTTCAACTTTTACGGAAAGGGTATTCCTTTAGGGAGAACACTTCTTGTTTGTGATTGGACAAAGCCAGCTGTGATTGGTTGTTTTTGCTGTCAGTCAAGAAATGACGCTTCCTGATTGGTCAGCACCTGACAGCACCACGTATTTCCTGTTTGGTACTGTTCAGCTGTTTCTGCACATATTTTAAACTGAGTTGGAAAGAATGGAAGAACCCCACCTCGAATATAGGTACGTTTATGATACTATCTATGGTTGATGTTTTTTCACTTGTATAAAATGGCACTAAATTAATATTATGTGCAAAGTTTTACTACGGTTTCATTGTTGTATGACTATGGCTAATCATTTTTGGTACTTAATTACGAAACAGACGTCTATCTGCCGTCCGCTTTTTGGAAAATTTTACGCACAAAAGACTTACCTCTAGCCTAGCTAGTCCTATTTGATTGGACATCGACGAGGCAGGTGTGAGTGTTGTTGCAGTATGTCTTTATTTATTTCGTCGCTGACATAAGTGGTACTGTGTCTGTCAGATGCCAAAAATGTACAAATTGAAATCAGGTCAAAGACTTGTCTATACTCCTCGACACTAGAGACACACAAAACCCTGTACAACTACACCACTACCCAAACTGTCGTACAGCTCCTATTGTAGTATACATATAG